TTGTTCAGGATTAGCAAGAGGTTCAAGATTTATCGAATAACCGTTGATTAACCGTTATTAAAAACCGGTCATAAACAGTTGCTACTTGTGATGCAAATTGGAAAACAATTACATTTATTGTTTTGCTTTCTTTATAATTATATAATCACTCTAGTCTCACGAAGAAGAAGAATAGACAGATTTGCAAAATTCAAAAGGCAGGTGGCTGACTGGCTGCTAGGTTTATGGCAGGCAATGTCAATTGATTTCTTTCCCTTCTATTTTATTTTGAATTTTTAATGGAAAGAAACGCAAAAGGTAGGCGCCATTTGGTTTTGGAAGGTGTGCTGTGACCCGGCACTAAAAATTTTCGTTTGGGTTATAGGTATCAAACATGCCTCTCTACTATTTTTTATATCAAACATGCCCCTGTAATTTGGAAAAACTATCAAACATGCTCTTTAGTTAAAATTTCTATTGAAAAAATCGTCAATCATGGTTGAACCGAGATTTAGACGACCTGGCATCGATAAATGGGAGGTGAAATGTCAGTTTTGACCCTTGCTTTATTTCTCTAGGTCTCATCAAATTGAAATTATTAGAATTATTTGGTTGTGCAAAAGAAAAAAAAAACTCTAAAGTGAAATTATTAGAGAGATTTTAGATATTTGGGTCGCCCAAACCAAAGTTCAGTCTTGGTTAACGATTTTTGGATGGAAATTTTAACTAAAGGGCATGTTTGATAAGTTTTTCAAAGTACAAGAGCATGTTTGTCGCCCTAACTAAATCACATTTACTTTAATGCCCTTGTTGCAAACATAGCTCGCCAAACCCAAAAGCTGATATTGTCAGCGCCAACAGGAGTTCACTTTTTCAGGAATAGGAGGACTATTGTTCTTAGCATGCTTGTCCTTAGGTTCTGAACTTTGTCTAACCCATTTGATTTTCACATCTTAACTAGTGCAAAATGTATATAATAAAAGAGAATAATTGGATAAACCCTAGATATCTATTCATCATCCTTATTAACTTGCTTTCTGCAATCGTTAACTTGCTTCTTCTTCCTCCTTCCCTCTGGCGCCTGCAGCATATTCTAGTTGGGGCAGGAGCATGGGAGGGGAGGTGATGACTGATGAGGCGACGGTTCTTTTCATGAGTGAGACTGTGAGAGCGGCGGATATGGGTTGGGGCGAGGAAGGGATTGTTTGGTTAGGGTTAGAATTGAAATTGAGTTGAAGGGTAAATTTGTCAATTTATTCCATTTTAGGGCGATTTTATTTGAATTTTAGGGCGACGAATAGCAATTCAGCATATTATACCTATAATCCTTTCCGTTTTTAGGCTTCCGGGACTGGGTTAGTGTCCGGGTCCGGGTTTTCCTGGTCTTACCGGACGGTCCGGCCCAGGTTTCACAACAATGGTTTTTGGCATCCAGATTTGCGATTTCTTATGTTTACTTTTGTTCGCTCTAGTCAATGAAATTGGCAAACTCTGATGGCTATATAGCTGCAAGGAGACCAACTCTGATGGCTATAGCTGCAAGAAGGAGAGAATCGTCCCCAAGTTTGATTCTGTGAAGCTAAGGAGTGAAGGCGCCAACACACACAGTCTCTCTCTCTGGTTTGATCATCTTCAGCAATTCAGAAGAGTGGTGGCTTTTGCTTGCTTACGGTCACCCTTCCTCTCTTTTTTCTTCCTTTATCTCTATTATTCTTCAGAGAGTTGTGTTTGGATTGGAAGTCCTCAAGTTTCCAGCTTTGAACATAATCAGTGGTATTGTGCAAGCTTTCGATCCAATCAATTGGTATGATTGAAAGAGACAACCCCTTTTCTTTGTCTTTTTCCCAAGACATGATTGGATCTATATAAGTCTCAAAATCTTTTAAGTTTGTTTTCAAAAAAAAATTCCTATAATTTGTCTCACAAATCGCAATGACTCTAATCTCAACAGCTTTTACCACAACATGCAATCGCAAGATAATACTTTAGCACTACTAAGAAAATGGGTTAGGTTTCCATACAAAATTCATTTTTTATTTCGAGTTGCAAATTCAAATGCGATGGTTGTTATTAGGAAGAAGATGTCTGATGGTAGAGTAAGGAGGAAAATTATGGATTTTGGAGACAATTAAGCGAATCTCTAGACACTAGTTAATGTACTTTTTAAATCTCCTACAAATTTTCAACGGGAACATATCTCATTTGTTTTATTTCGGATTTCAAAATAAGTTGCGCAGAAAAATCAAAATTTATGTGCTCTGCAAGATGATGCCTATGTTGATGTTCTTTTAGAACAAATTTTTGTTGGTCATCTTACCTCTATCATATAGCGATAATATCATGATATGACAGTGATATGATGATGTTATCACAATGATAATTTCATGATATGATACAGATATAATGATGTTATCAGTCTACAATAGTAGTAAGATTATGACTGGACAATTGTGAGATATTATTATGAAGTCTTACCGTTGTGGTAGTATGAGAATGAAAAGATAATATCAAGTCCTATCATTGACCAAAATTTTTGATGTCATCATATCATGATATAATCATATTCTCATAGTGATAATATCATGATACGGTAATGATATGATAGTGTTGTCAGTCTTATTATGGCTTATCTTTGCTTTGCTAAAAAAATATGGCAAAATAGATACCATTATGTATTATCATAATTAGTGAATTCTTTCTATGCAATGAGTTATGCTATCATACAACTCTCATATCATCACGATATAATAATGATAAGATCACCAAAAAACATGTTTTTAATAATTGTTTTTTTGTTAAAAATATAGCAAAATGGATTGTGTAGATAATAATTAATGCACTATTTTATTCAAAAATAATTTAATTCCAAATTAAAACGAAGGAGGTGACTCAATTAAGAAAAAAAAATAGATTAGAAAAACTAAGTTTTGAATGGTAAAAAATCTTTGTACTCTCGTTTCATTAATGAGCACAATCTTCGACAACGAACGCACTTGAATCGCTCTGCGACCTGCACTTGTTGGAGGACGGAGCTTCCGGCTAAGATCTCTTGTTGATTCTGCCGATTGTCAATACGGTGGTCGAAAAAGTGCTATTGACCTGTGATTCCTCGGCCAGCTCGTCGTCCGCCGCAGTAATCAGGCAACCCTAATCTCAGCTCCGTCGCCTTTAGGGATGGCAAATTACCCACCCATGGGTAATTTTGCCCAAACCCCAATAGACCCATTTATTATGGGTAGGGTTTGGGTGACGTGTGTATGGGTTTGGGGTTTGTATATGAGTTTGGGTTAGATATAGATATTATCTAAATGTGTATGGGTTGAATACGGATATCCATTTACTTGAGGGTGTTTTAACTACACATACAAAAATTGGACATATTTGTAAAACTTGAAAAGTTTAGACACCAAAATGTGAGACCAAAAAATTTTAGGTACTAAAATGTAATTTTTATTGATATTTAGAGGACTTATATGCAAAAAAAAATAATTTAGGTACTAAATATGCATAACTATTAAGTTTAGGTACCAAACTGTAATTTGCATTTGGGTATGGGTACAAACCCAAATCCATATGTTAAAAACCTAACCCAAGTAAATGGGTATGGGTACAAACTACAAACCCATCAAACTCTACCCATCTAACATCTATTTGGATTCCATACCCAACCCAATTGGGTTGGATAGTAAAATACCCATGGGTATGGGTAATATTGCCATCCCTAGTCGTCTTGAGACTCAGATCGGAATCCAACTCCATGGATGAAGAAGATCTCTTCATGTAGTAACTCAAATTGATTGATAGAAATCTGGTTCCAAATCTAGTCTTCCCGGTACCAAATATCAATCTAGTTCCCGCTAACTTCTAGATGGCGACAACTACCACTACTAGTCTGACGGCGGTGATGGTGATGATCAACCAGTGGTGGATCCAGGGCTGGGCCAACCCTGGCCTCGGCCCAGCCCTCCTCCGGATCCAGAGTTAGTTTAGTGCTTATAAAAATTTTCGATTTAGGTATTTGGCCCAGTGCTATTTAAAATTCTGTCTAGTTTTATTTGATAATAGGATTTTGTGTAACTAGGAAAATGGTTCAGATGAACATATCCAAACCATTACTCTAAATTTATACTAAATTTTCTATAGCCCCAATGATTTTATTTGAAAAATGACATGAAAACCTAAAAGTGTAAAGTTTCATTAAAAAAACTCTAAACTAAAGCACACCCTTCCTTGCAGAATTCAAAAAATTTCCCAATCCCCCCAAAACAAAACAAGAACGAGGAGACGAGCAGACTCAAAATGGATTTCTCTGCCAGCCCGTCGAGCTGGTTTTCTTTCCATTCTTTTTATTAAGAAAATATTTACAAACTTGCTGAGTCATCATTTAGATTGCCTCAATTGAGTGGGGCACTAGATTCTAACCGTTCTTTCTGGTGTTTTGATGAAGAAAATATTTACAAACTTGCTCAAGAGTTTAGCCTCGAGACTTTGAAGGCTATGAGATGCATTCTTTGGAGAATGCACTACTCATGTGAGGAAGATGAAGTTTTTTCTCTTGCAAAATTATTAGAGAAGCTGGAGGAAATAGGGATGGACACATAATACAAATTGATTTGTCGGTTGATTTGTCTAGTGTTGACCTAGCCGTTTCAACAACTACCATGAAGAGAATATTTTCAGCAATGGAACATGAACATTGATTTGTGCAACAAAATGAGCGATGAATTTCTCGTTGATTACTTAGCTATTTTCTTTGAAAAAGAGTATATTATCAGTATGGATGAAGATTATATTATTGATGAATTTGCTAAATTAAAAGACATTCTTGTACAATTGGCGTTGTAATGAAAACTATATTATTATATATTTTTGATTATGGTATCTAATATTCTATTCAAATACGGCTCAGTGCTCTCTTATGTCCTGGATCCGCCGCTGTGATCAACACAATCTCCACCACCAAGCAAACTGAACATTTGCCGTCATTCGTCGCCCAAAAGCCGAACTTCCCCCCTGTCAGGATGCGTCCGCCCAAATCCCTACAACCAATCTCATCATCTCCTCAACACCGGATCAGGCCCAACGACACTCCGACGCCGAGAACCCAGTCCCCTACCCCGGCGGTCCCGCCGCTGCCGTTCCCTACATCAGCCCATGACGGAAGATTTGAGGTCGATGAGTTTGATCCCAGGTTGATAGAGCTCAGGTGTCTCAAGGGAGGAGCAGAGGAAACAGAAAAGAAGAACGAACCCAAATTCAGTTACATTCCATGTTTGGACAACTTCGAAATACATTGCCCCGACTCAGCTCTTGATTGCATCGTCCATATGCCAAATGGCTACTAGAAATCGCTCCCTTACCTAGGAGCCTGGGCGAGGTGAAAGATTGGAGAAGAAGCAAGAGATTGGGAAGCTCCCCTTACCCATGAATTTGTGATTACAATTATTATTATTATTTATTTGATAAAGAGGTGAAATTTTTAAAAGATTAAATTTTATTATTTTTTAAGTTTCACGTCACTTATTTAACGATCAACTCCCAAAGTTGACTGTCACGTCAGCTAAAGTTAACAGAGAGTGACCAAACTTGAATTGTTGAACTAATTTGAGTGAGTACGAATATAATAAAGGGTAAATACAATTTAATATCCAAACTTTCATTTTAAACAATATAATAGCCAAACCTTTTCGGAAACAATCTAATATCCAAATCGTCAACTTTCCGTTCGTTTGACCGTTAGTTGACACTTCAAAAAAGCTTTGTTTAGGGGAAATTGTCACAATACAACTTTGTTTCTTGTTTTGGCATTGCAGATGACTAAATATTTAGATATTCTATACCATCATGGTGGAGTCATGGACTTCTCGGGTTTGGAACTACGATATGTTGGTGGTTTTTCAAAGAAGATATCGATGGATATTGATGAATTGTCGTACTTCGAACTTTTTTGAAGTGTCAACTAACGGTCAAACAGACAGAAAGTTGACGATTTGGATATTAGATTGTTTTCGAAAAGATTTGGCTATTATATTGTTTAAAATAAAAGATTTAGATATTAAATTGTATTTACCCTATAATAAATTAATTTTAGTGACAAACGTGAATTTTTTAAGTAATTCTAGTGACCATACTTGCAATTTATCCCTTTTTGGTCACTAAAATTTGCAGAGGGCGGGGGATAGTGCATACATGCAAAGTGAAGCAACAACAAAGAAACACCCTGCTTCACTGTAATTTTTTTTCTTTTTTTTTTAAATGTTCGTTTGCTTGGCATTGGCAGGGGGTCAACCTCCCATGTCTTCTACCACTTTGTTTCCTCTTGTTCTTGCTGCTATTACAGGTTCAAGCCTCGCCTGCTCTCCTTCTTCAGCAAAATGTAGAGAGTATTTGTCTCTCTCTGTCTTGAATCTTGATCATCTTCAGCAATTCCGCAGCAGTAGCGATGTCAGGAATATGGTAGGAAAGAATTGAATGAAGGCGTGATTAATCACTCTCCTTAGAGTGTTATTTGCCCCCACTACAAATTGCTGGTAGGCTCGAGCAAACCACCCCCAGGAGTCCCTTCAATTTTAAGTGTGGAAGTAGCAATCTTGCAGACTTCTGTGTTTATGAAATAGAGAAGGAAAACGGGAAGAAGAAGTAATCTCTCATCATCAAAAGAGTTATGGCAGTCATCTATTTATAGTTGTGAAAACTGGAAGTTACCTTTCGAAGAGTCACATCCTTTCATAGAAAAGGTAGTTACCTTTATGGAAGGACACATCCTTTCACAAAAAAAAAAGAGAGTTACCTTTCTGGAAGGACACTTCTTTTCACAATATTCAAACGTTAATTAATTAATATAAAATTAATTAATTAATTAAATTGCCAAAAGACTCCATTGTTATATTTTACTTCTCCCATCAATTTCTTATTACAACTCTATTGACTAACTCTAACAATCCCCCACTTAGTCAACAAGAATTGAGAATACCTGCCTCGAACAAGTAAAGCATACATAAATGTATCTTTTCGATTTGAACCTTTACCTAGTGTAAGCAACTCAAAGTTGATAACGAATCAGTGACGGGCTTAAGGCTAGGAGTCACGATCCAAAGTTATAACCGGAGATGCCACACACGTACTTGTCTCTTCTCTAAACCACAACCACCAACTAGGGTAGCACTATTATGGCCATGTGCTAATCCTGTTTCATGAGCATACACAAAAGTTGACCTCTACCTTTGTTAGAGCGGCACCACTCTTAATGCTCACATAGGTGATATTTCAAATGAATTCATTAAGAGTTCTATAACTCATCTCAAGAGTTCTATAACTCACCCTTCTTTGAACTAATTTACTTGTACAATAAATTAGTACCTCTGTTAGAGTAACTTGTTATTACCACATTGAACCTTTTAATTAGTGAATACCTAAAGACAAGCTGGGTTCCCATTACTTCTAACTACATAAAAGGTCTCAATCCCTTCCCTTGGGATCTCATAGATCATGCCTCTTGGCTATCCCTTGGCAAGAGGATCTGCCAAATTATTGCTTGATCTTACATACACAATAGAATTGATTACATTAGTAATCAAATATCTAACATAATCATGTCTTAGGCTATTATGTCTAGACTTACCATTTTAAATCTTGCTATAAGCTTTAGACAAAATAGCCCCACTATTACAATAGACAGAAATGGCTAGCATCGGTTGTGGCCACAACTCTATACTTAACATCATGTCTCTTAGCCATTCTGCCTCTTTTTCAGCCGCCGCAAGGGCTAGAAATTCATCTTTCATGGTGGAGTGTAGTACACATTTGTTTCTTCGAAGCCCAAGAAACTACTCCACCACCTACTGTAAAAACCAACCCGTTGTAGATTTATTATCACTAGCACTTGTTATCCAACTAGCATAAAAAACATCTCCCCCGCAATTTTACCACTTGCCGAACTATCATGGAATAATTCCATTTAATTTTTCATAGTTTTACTTATTGAACTCTCACAACCACTACAATGAGCTAATTGTTTACCAATGGTATGGACTAATTGAATTATCATACCATAAACAATTCAGATATTATTAGAAATATCATCTAGTTACTTGAAATATCATCTAGTTACTTACCAATGGAATTGGTCAAGTAACTTGAGATGCCACAAGTAATTCAGTTGCATTTCCGGATTATATTGGAAATACCATCTAATTACTTACCAATGACATTTCACGAAGGTAACTTGACATACCACAAGCAATTCAAATGAATATTGTAAGTCAATCGTCTAATTACTTGCCAATGGTATATATTTCACAAATATACCATAAGTAATTCAGACTTTAAGTTTTACAAGATCATTTCAATTGAGCTCTCATGCCAAATTGTTTTCCAATGGTATATGTCTACGTATACCATAAACAATTCTGACAAATAGCTTCAAACAATAATCATACGTCAAATTGTTTTCCAATGGTATAGTGTACATGTACCATAAACAATTCTAACCATAATTATTTTAATGATCACCATTCTATGGCAAGCTTATTCAATCCCTATAAGGATGCATCTTAGTTTCATTTTCTTTGCCCTCATGGCATATGAAACATGAAGTCATAAACCAATACATGATAAACAAATTACCATAACGCTATTCACCATTATTTGAATTTACTTCAAGTCACAACTCAAACAATTTTGTTACATAAACCAAATTGTTGCATCTTGCAAGCATCAAAATTGAAACTCATACAAATTTTGGTGAGAAATTTTTTTTCAAGAATTCAACGTGAATTTGTCCAAATTCAAACATAATCGAATATCTCCAAATTCTTATCATAGTATGAGTTATGAGTTTGTACACATCTCAAATACTACAAAATTATTTGATATCACTTAACCAAACCAAATCGGTTATTCGATCACCAAATAGGATCCCAATCATTCTGTCCATAATAGTATCTATGCATGAACAATAATAGAAGGCCATCAGGCATGCATACATATAATTATGCCGCAAAGCCCTCCATTGTAACTTCTTTAAGATCCGTGTTGTATGCACGGTAAGTGCAGTTAAATTAAGCATGCAATTAATAAATGATGCAGACTATATAAGTCTCATCATATATATATATGATTGAGATTTCATAGTAGTGGCGATGGATAACTACCAAAACATGAAAATGATGAAATGATGCATCTGATGGGTTTTAACTTTTAAACCTCCATATATCTCAAATTCATTCATTACTCTGGTCTTCCATACAAGCAAAGCAGTTCAAATCAGGGAACCAAAAACACCCAGTTGCTATTCTACTCAAAACCATGATTTATATATATAATCATTGCACAACCCAAAAAATTGTTAATCTGCTATACATGTTGTTGGAAATGTATATGAATAGCTTTGAAAGCTATAGAGTCTCTAGTGGAAAAACTATCACATTGGTAGTTTTACTTGGTGAAATGTGTATAAAGATAGGAGCCTCTCTCCTAAGGGCATGCCCCTTGGGGTGACCCACTTTTGTGGGAGAGGGAGGACCTAACGGACCACCACACACGCGTGCGCGCGCCGTTCGTCCGTCCGACCGGTCGGTTGGTTCACTTGAGACTATATATATATTTTTGGAGAAATTTCGAGCGAAATTAATTATCTAATAATTAATTATTAATCGGTTATTCGGAGGAATATTTTAAGGATAATTGACTAAAACGGAATATTCCAAGCATAATCCCTTCGGGTTTATCTTAACCGACGGTTTTAATTAAGGAAGTAATTATCTTCCTTAATTAATCCGACTTATTCCCCAAGCAAGAGGGTATATTCCTAGGGGTTCGGCTCCTATAAATAGCCGCCTCCCCAACCCCTCTAAATATCATGACAACGAGCAGAAACACGATAGAGAGAGTGTTTAGAGAGCTTCGGTTTTCGCACAAAACCGCGAGTATTGAGATGAGCTGTTTTATCCTGGAGACGACCGGTTGATAGTCTTCCGTGCGCATCGAAGGCAGTGCCGCGAACGTCTTAAAGAGAGCGACCTAGTCCGCGACTCAGCTCCAGATTCGGTAACCTCGTTCCTTTTGTTGTTCCGTTCCTAACAATTTTAAGACGTTCGGCTGCTGCTATGTCGACTGAACAGAACAACATGGCCGGATCTGGTGCTGTCGATATTAATCGACCCTTTCGCTTCGTTGGGGTCAACTTCCGTCGCTGGAGGCAAAAGATGGAGTTCTACCTGACGACCAAAAAGCTGGCCCACTGCCTCACCAGCATGCCCGTCGAGCTGCCGGAAGAAGCGACCGATGAGGAGAGGGCTGCTGCTGCCAAAGAAAGGGAGCATGACTTCCTGTGCAAGAACTACAT